AGGGCATCGCTGTTTAAAAACGAAGGTGTGTTTCCCACATCTTACACACAGCTTCTTCTCCAGCCATCCTTCTTGCTCCTTGGTGAGGGTGGATACTCGATCTACGACCATTGCGTTGGGGTCTTTCGGGGTCCGTGGTGTCGATGATGATGATGTCGTTACTGTTCCGTGCTGTCCTGCCTTATCGGCCCTGAACTTGGACTCCAGTTGAAGGCACAGGTCGAGGTATTCCGGCTATGTGATGGGGTCAGAAATTCTTAGACTGTCTCGTGTGACCATTGCCTGGTGTACGTCCTTGCTTCGATGTTCAGCAATGTAACTGATGAGTGCAGTGTGCCCTAAGTTGGTCTTAGTGGCCCATTGACGGAACTGTTCTGTGAAGGATACCATCGTAGGATACGTCTTGCTGCAGATATCCTTCAGATGCTGCTGCGCATCCTTGTCCGGGTCGAGGGTCCTGTAGTTTACTTTGAGGATGTCGACGAAGTCTTCCCATGTGCCAAGTGCTTGCTGTGCTGCTGCCTTGGTTGCATATTCTGACATGTATGTGAATGCACCACCTTCCAAATGTAGCAGGGCCGTGGTAATCTTGTGTTCGTCGTCGTTGATCTCATTCCACCACATCCATATACCGAGTTGTTGAAGCCAGTCCTCCAGACTTCCTTTGCCTGAGTAGTGTGGAGGTTCAGCAATTTTGATGTGTGGCTTGTGCGATTGGACCGTGCCAGATGTTTGACCTTGCATCGTAGTGACGCCGCTTGCTTTGAGCGAAGCTAGCTCGTGCTGCAGCTTAACGTTAGCTGCCTTGATCTCCATCATTTCTTTGCCTGTGTCAAGCATTGCCGCCTGGGTTCCCGTGAGCTCATCATTTAAAACCGCCATATGCGCATCTTGCGCGAGGATCCTATCTTTAAGCTTCCTGATCTCTGTCTGGAGAACTGCCTCCTTAAGTCGGTGTTCGCTCTTGTTGTTTTGGATCTGCGATTCAAAAGCTTTCTTGTGCTCGTACATCTTGTTTCCAAGCACATTGTAGACCTTGGCAATTTCAGTAGTGACCGTGAGCTTCATTGCGACGATTACCCATTCGCGTATGTGGTTCGGGACTTCTCCGGGAGCGGACTGTCTGAGAGCATCTTCTAGGTGCTCGAATTGGTGCTCATCAAACTCCCAGATGGGTGGGACATAGGCTGGTACAAGTGATGGTGTCGGAGATGCTGGTCCTCTGACTTGTGACGCAGAATCCTGCGGTCCTAGTGCAGGTTCGGGTGAATTGTGCTGCGAGGCGCGTGGGGTACTTCCGTCATGTGCTGAATCGACGTTTGTATGAAGAATGTCATTCATTCGTTGCCTGAATGTGGATGCATGCGCACGATCGGTTCCTTCCATTGTGATATAGATGTAGGTAAACTAATTGAAAATAAAGCCTAGGTACTGCTTGTCCTTGACTTTCCCAATCTCCCTGACGATCTCGTCTAACCTCTGCTGCTTTCCTATCTCCTTGAAGTTGATCTTGCCTATTTCTAGGCAGCACGTGTTGATGACCTATTTGTCGACGAAGGTGTATTCGCGAGTCTCTGTGTAAAGGTCTGCGCAGACTTTGTCTAACTCCGATGTGAGGAGTTGTACCTTCTTTCGTTTGTCCTGATCAATTCTCTCTCAGAATGCTCCTAATATCGACTGTAGCCTGAAGCAGGTAGCTGAGACCTGCTTCTTGAGTGTTTCGATGTGGAGGGTGGGTCTGACTTTGGACGGAAGAGGGCAAATGAATCGTGCATGTGTGTTGACTTTAACAAAGTTGGGAAGAGGTCGCACTGGCTGTGGAGCAACAATGATGGGGGGAACGGCGTTGGAGGTGATGATCTCTGGGGGTGGTCTTGGCCTTCGACCGCCTATAGTGAGGCGTCCTTTTCTGGGCTTGTAGCGTTCGAGCGAGGGTGTGTGACTGCGAGGTCGGCGGATGATGCCTTGGACTCTGATATGCGTAGTGTCAACTACTCTGGCCGCTGCACGCTGTCTGTCTGTAGAAGATGCGCCTAAGGATGCTAGAGTGAGAAGTCTTCCTCGCTCTTTGTTGGTCTCGAGGCGTTTGTAGCCGGCGTAAGGGTCTTCTGCCTTGGTGGCCTTGCGCTTTGCTGCCTTGGGCTGCTCAGTGTCTTGCTGAGGCTCACGCCTGGTAGAAGTTGAGTTGAAATGTGTGTCAAAAAAACCGCACGCTACGGCTGAAACTGCTTGCACTGAAAATATGCGGCTGCTTGTGTTAAACACTAAGCAGGGGCGCAGAAAATGTCAGATTGTTTCTAATGTCACGGTAACACCAGACAAGAGATCAAAAAGACTAAAAAGGGACAGTCACGTGGAACGTGCCACCCTGATCCCCCTGATCCCAAAGGTATCCCCCTGAACCCTATGTGGCGCAAGAGCCTGTTGACTTACTGGTCGATGTGGCAGACGCAGGAAAGGGTGAGAGATATATGAAGGAGCTGGTGAGCTCAGTGAGTGCTACAGGTAGTAGACGAGGAGAAACAATCTGAAGTTTCGTCCTCTACATGGCTGGTCTTATATACACGTACAGCGGGCTATCTTACCTAAGCTACCTATCTATGGGTATAAGCAAATGGCCGTACATGGGACAATAGGATGTCCGGAAGTAGAACAATAAGTGGGAAGATCGATGGTTGCCGCAGTAATGCGTGTGCACATCGTGCCTATCTTGGTTTCCCTTTTGTTCTCTGGTGTGAACATTGTGCCTATCCAGGCTTCTGGCTAAACTAATAGGAAGCGGAAGGCCGATGTATAACAATAGTTCTTGTTCCCTTTGTTCCCAAATGGGTGCCTCTATTGTGTCCTGAAATAGACAGGTCCGACTGTATCATCTACGGGTCTGGACCATAACATGTGATATGGACTATCACCTGATCTCTACGCGTCACGTCTGTGGCTGAGTGGCGTGAGATATTGGTAAAGCATGTGATCTGTGGTGTGAGCAAAGTCACGTGTGGACTTTGTGGTAAAAATCTGTGACAATAAGACTGAGGGTCTCTCCTCGTCTCGCTGGTCCCTATATACATGATTGCCTAGCTACTGTACAGTACTACATAAGCGAGTCACATGCTATTCTACTAGACGTGCTACAATCATACGACTTGTCCCAATTATCCTGATTGGTTGGCCTAACAATAGCCTGCAGAGATGGAGATCCTCTTGAGCATGCAATATGGTGTCATAGCGATTGCACCTTATGATGCAATGCCAAGGAGCTCAGTGTCACGTGACTATGCCGAGAGAGATCTGAGGTCATGTGACTAGATGATCGGTTATCTTATCTCCCATTAGGTCATGTAACTTTGTGCAACTTGAAATGACAAAAAATAATACATTCCAATGTGTATGTTCCTTTTATTGACTTGTCAGGTAAAACCATGACAACATCTTTAAGATCAACATAAATCTTATGCAGATAGTTAGATCAAGATGACTATGATGAGATATAAATTTTTCTCTGAGATGTTTTTATCTTTGAGACAAAGCAAGTTTATTTGTGCAGTGTATTCCTTAGCTTTTAAAATGTATGAAAAACCTCATATTTGATTATATATCATCAGCTGTTCATGATGTGTTTGAAATGTGACATTGTCACATGTTTTTCTTCATCTTTCTTGATGAATTAGCTTGAAGAGGTTTTAGAACTTTTCATTGATATTTATCAAATCTTTTTATAATCTTTATATGCTGAAAAGTGTATTATATCTATTGAACAGCCTTTTAATCATTTATAAAACAAGATGATAAACAGACTGTGAACAATGATCTAAAGCTTTTGCATCAAAATGTTTAAGATCTTTTCAAAATCTTTTATATAAAAAGTTTTGGAAAAGATTTCAATCAGTTTGAAGATTTTTTTGCATAAAAGATGATCATATAATTTAAATTTTTTCTCTTATCTTTTTATCATTTTCTGAGTGAAAGTATTGAATGTTTCACCCATATAGACTAGTACTATACTAATACAATGCTAGTACTAAGCTAGTACTAAGCTAGTACAATGCTAGTACTAAGCTAGTACTACGCCAGTACAATGCTAGTACTAAGCTAGTACTATGCCAGTACTATGCTAGTACTAAGCTAGTACTACGCCAGTACTATGCTAGTACTATGCTAGTACTATGATAATGCTAATTTTATTGTAATCTCAATGTTAAAATGCTAATATGCTATATTTTATATATTCTCAATAACCACTGATTTAGAATACTGGTACTCAGTAATGACATTATGCTGGTGAACATAATGATGATCGCTGAAGATCCAATGTTTATATCTTATTTTGAATGTGACATAGTCACATATTTTTCTGCATCTTTCTTGATAAATTATCTTGAAAAGGGTTTATAACTTTTTATCAATATTTAATAAATCTTCTTATAATCTTTATATGTTGAAAAGGTTAAGACATAGGTTCAAGAGTTTTTTAATCATCCATGTTCTAAGATGATATAAAGACTATGAACATTATTTAAAGCATTTGCATCAAAATGTTTAAAATCTTTTCAGGATCTTTTGCATGAAAAGTTTCAATAAAGATTTTAAAGATTTTAAAGATTTTTTCAGATGAGAGATGATAATATAATTTAAATTTTTTTCGCTATCTTTTAATCATATTTTAAGTGAAAGTATTGAATGTTTCACCCAGTGGTACAGAAGCTGTGCGTGCATCTCCATGCTTCCTTGGGCGCCGACTGCTCGAGGAACAGAATCAAGCGCCACTGGGTGCGTCATTCAATTCTGCGCAGGTGATATTCACCTTCTACAGGTGCGAACATAAGTCCCATCCTCGCACGTAACAGTGCGTGAGATGAGACACAAACCGCCATGTTGCACAGATTGGAAGGGAAAAAGTGCGAGCATCTTGACGAGCGTCCGCGTCCTCGTTCAGCGCTTTCAGCGCTCAGCGGTCCGATACTATTTACTAGTACATATGATCCTGCCCATCAAACATGCGCTTGCGAGCTGTGCATAGGCCACCCACATATACTTAGCCTCGCGAACCTCACATCTCTTTCCCTTTCCTCTCATCTCCGTCCTCTCACATCCCCTGCATTCGGACACTTCATCAAAGCTACACTTCTGCTACACTGTGTGATCACTGAGAACTCGAACTATGGATACAACTCCGAGAAACATCGACTCTGAGCTATCCAGTCCTCTGACTGTGCCCGCCTCAGAGCATTCTGACTTGACTGTACCTGAGTAAGATACATATTTCCTCCATTCAACTTATTCCAGTAATTCAATGAATCTATGATCCCACAGAATCTCAATCATGCAACCTATGGAGGGCTCACAGCCAACCCTACCTTCTTCAGACCCTCAGATTCTGAATATGCCAGTGCAGTGAGCTTTCCTTTGTGTCTAGTCTTACACTTTGTCATGTATCCGTCAAGAATATCAAACCCAAGTTCATCAACTGCTGCAGGCCCAAGTGGTCTTCTGCTGGCAGAAGCAGTTCAATTTTTGTATGTAGCACTGACTTTATCATATTATCATGCCATGCATTGACAATCTTGAGCAGAGCGAAATTTCAATCTGGATTTTCTTTGGGGCTATTGAGAACATGTGTTATTTTGAAGAATACAAATGCTGGGTATATTATATTTAGCATTGAAGTGCTATTGCTGCTTTGCTCATGCTATGTAATCAAGAAAACTGCTGCACAATATCATCAAACTTGTGCTGCATGACAGCAGGGAGAATAAAGAAGCACTGCAGTATGTGTGAAGTTTTTGACATGCAAGGATCACATTATTGATCAAAACACAGATTGCACCACATGAGCCTCAATATAGTGTCATTGATCGCTAATATTGATGCAGATTTAGTTCAAATTCAAGGCAACATTTCAGAGTTTTTCATGCAAATCCTGGCACATCTTTCTCAGGAACTTCTGAAATGTTATCACAAATCACACCTTCTGAATGAACTAAACAAGATGATCATAATATCGAGAATTGCATTGCAGCTAGTTCCTGATGATCATGAACACAAATGGGCATATTGGGGCATGCTTGCAGATGCCTTACATAGGCAATTTCAACATACTAGGGATCTTACATATCTTGATCAAGCCATTGCTGGAGCAGTGCAGCTGACATCAAATGATCCTGAGATGCTGAACGACCTTGGAAACTTCTTCTCAAGGCGCTTTAGGCATCTTCAAAACCTTGCAGATGTGAACCTGGCCATTGCTGTATGGCAAAAAGCAATGCAGCTGACACCTGATGATAATGCAAAAAAGCCTCATGTGCTCAACAATCTTGGAAACTCCTTCTCAAGTCGCTCCAAACATCTTGATAACCTGACAGATCTTGAACAGGCCATTGCTATGCAGCAAAGAGCAATGCAGCTGACATCAGATGATCATGCAGACAAGCCTGGCATGCTTACCAATCTTGGAACCTCCTTCCGCATGCACTTTGAACATCTTGGTGACTTTGCAGATGTTGAACAGGCCATTGCTATGCAGCAAAAAGCAGTGCAGCTGACACCAGATGATCACGCAGACAATATCACAAACTTAGGACGCAGAGCGCCGACTAAGCCTATGACCTTACAATCAAACACTTACTGACTGTTGTCGGAGTAAGGATGGACACAAAGATGATCAAGATAAAGCAGTGCCTTGCGAGTGAGCACTGGTAACACTGTATGGATAGACGTAGCAGAGATGAGAATAAGTCTGGGGGACTTAGACGTCTCAGAGCTCTGGCTTATATACATGAGCGGAGGGACCCTTGGTACCCTGATACCCCAGAACCACTAGCTAATGGAAATTGTCTGATTGGTTACCACTACCTGTCAGACTACGTGTGTCATGCATGCCGAACCTCTGAACTACTTAGTAAGACCATGGGAATGGTATTGCCTGTAATGGCTACATCTCCGGTGGCGTGGTATCTATCTACCTCGTGCATGTGAACTAATATCCCCTTAAGGACATATCTCCGGTGTCGTGTATCCCCTTCGTTGGATTCTTCCGGAGTCCGACCGTGACTTCTAGGTGGGATGATATTACTGTATAAGTTAGGCTTACCTAATACCAGCGCTACTTGTCACATGTGTGGATATCACGTGATATGTCACGTGACTAGACCTGGACCTTCGGGGCGCCTAGGACTGTTCGTACTTCGCGTACCGGTTCGTTCCTTTCTGAACAGCCTAGCGCTGGTGTCAAGTGATGTCTTGGTCACGTGTAGAGGTGAAAACGTGAAAATCTGTGACAGTACCCCCCCTTCTAGACAGTTCATCCCGAATCTGGCTTTTTGCGTGGTTTCTGGAAGTAATTATCGCCTGTGGAACCAAATCCACGGTGACCTCGGGCTGAGGGCTTGAGGTAATCAACTAGTGAAACGACAGGGGTGATAATACGTTCAATGATAAGTTGGGCAACTCGATCGCCCAAATTGACTGTGAAGTCATCATTGGTATTATTGATTAGCAAAATCTTGACTTCGCCTGTGTATCCTCTGTCGATAACACCAGCACCTACGTCGATGCCTTTGACAGCTAACCCACTTCGTGGTGCAATTCGACCATAGGTCCCTCGAGGTGTTGTAAAGTGAAGTCCTGTGGATACCAATCCTCTTGAGTGTGCTCAGATGGTTGTTGGTTCTGATGCAGCTAAATCCATTCCAGCATCGTCTTCATGGGCATATTTTGGTGCGTGTGCATTTGGATTATCTAATGTAATTTGAAGATCTCTAGAATGATTCCAATCATCTCTATCCTGATCGTATATCTGAATGGTATCTGTGGCGGGGTCATAAACTTGACCTGTTCTCCTGGGTGGAAAAACGCCATCGACCAGAGTTGTATCAATGAGAGATATTGGTTGAGGTGCGTCAGGATATTTTCTGTGAAATTCCTTGATGAGACGCGGAGATTTCTTCAAATTTGCTGCGGGTTCCCAAGTTTCTTCAGCTTTAGAATAACCCTTCCAATGCACCAAATATTGAAGTTTGCCACGAATGACATGAGAGTCGACTATGTATTCGACTTCCCATTCTTCGCCAGTCTTCTTTTTGATAGGAGGACGGGGTCTGAGAGTGCGGTCTGGTATTTCGTCTTTGTGGTAGAGCGTGAGCTTGGACGCATGAAAAACTGGATGAACGCCATATTGTCACAGCATTTTGAGTCTATATGTGACTGGTCCTAGTTTTTCTACGATTTCGAAGGGTCCATCTCTCCGTTGTGCCAATTTGGCTCCCGATGTCTGCCAGTCTTTAGTGGAGAGTAATACTTGATCTCCAACTTTGAAAGGTGCGGGTCGTACGAATTGATCGTAATACCACTTCATGCGCTCAGCTGCCAATAGAATGGCTGCTTTTGCTTGCTCTTGCGCTTCTACTCGTGCCTGCATTATGGAATCTAGCGTATTATGCTTTATAGGGTCCATTATTGTTGGTTCTGCACGTGGATGTCTACCGTATTCGACAAAGAATGGTGAATTCTTAGTGGCTTCAGAAGCCTGATT